AGAGCAGCACGCCGATATGCTGACCAAGGTCCTTGGTAGGGGCAAGTTGGAGTACCACCGGAAGGCTCTGATGAACCTGCCGATGTAGGGTTCTGGTCTCGTGTTCGTGGCGTTTGTTTTGTTTTGTTCAGCACTGGGCGCGTCTCGGACCATGGTATGTCACGCAGGAAGCGTTGGGCAGGGGCGTCACCCGCGGCGGGAGCTTAGGGTTTTTGACCAATTGCTTCGGGTGTGTAATCAGCGTGGCCTGTCCAATCTGTCCAGCCTTGGTCCTGCCCTGATAGTGCGGCCGTTGGAATCCTTCGTGATAGCGACGGTTTCTTTTATGCTTTGAGTTTGTAGGCAAGGGTTTTTTGATCCGGATGGCCTAGTTTTTCCCTTGCACCCGTTGTTGTATGAGTAACTTAAGTAGATCTGGAGTATCCATGCCCCACTGATGGTTTGTCAACAGCTTGACGAACCGGGGAGGGTGTTCGTGTGTCTGGATACGAGCATGGTAGATCTGCTAGCAGCACGGGGGGGTACGTAGACAGGAGCATGCGTATGCCTGAAAAAGGCTACTATGTGTGGGCCCCCTTCCCGAATTCGGGAGGGCCACTTCTTCCCTTCCTTTCCTCGCTCCCGCGGGTGCCTAATCAGAGAGAGTTAAAGCGTGTCTTCTCCTCCCAAGTACGGACATACCAACATGTCAAAGGTTTTTATTTTTTTGCCACACAGGTGTGGCCGCGGTTGCATGTGCATGCACGAGAATGTACCGGAGACAAAGGTTGTACACGAATGTGAATATTCATGGGTATTGCCGTTTAGTGCTACGATGTCAATTACTACTTCGTTGTAGATAACAACCTTCTCTCATGTTTCGTACTTCCACGGAATCATATGTCTAACGTAGTAGTCTGTAGATAGAGAAGATGCTGGGTGGAGGTCTGAGCTGTTCTACGTGGGACACAATGGAGGTGTAGCCTTTCGTCCACCCCGGTTTTTTGCCCTGATGCCTGGTTTCGCCTTTTGATGGTACCACCTTAGACCTGACGCTTTCTTTGGGGTTCAAAGTGGCCAAACGAGCGGAGTCGCGTTCCTCCGCCTGGGATAAACATTTTCAGTGTTCTTGCGCACGCTACATGGTGTGGGGGTGCAGGATGAGGTGGCTGCTACTCTGTGAATCTCTGTGAAATGGGTGAACATGGGTCATTCCGTTTTTTTACACATATTTTGCACGACCGACAAGTTGAAGCCGCATGTCTGAAGTCCCTTCTCCACACACTCTATGTAACAGCTTGCTTTCGTTGTCCATTGAATGGAATTCTGGGTGCAGAGTGGGAGTATCTGTTCGAATAACCTACTTGCATGCTTTTATTGGGGCGTCATACCATCTAATCTGGTCAACCAGGGTCAGTATTTATTGTTATGCCATGTGATTGCTATCGCTGTACAGTATGCCCAGAAGGTAGGGGACGGACAACGTTCGTCATACAAGTGACTGAGTTGTGGTTATGCGGACGGAAAAGTTGCTTTGACCCCAGGCTCGCATGTTCGCAAATCTAGGTAATCCTCGGCGTCTCTCTCGGTACATCGAGCGAGTTAATCATGCCTTTGTTGTTTCTTTCGAACCATGTGTCGACTGAGGATTGGTTTTGAATGTCATGGCGGACAACCCTTTGAAGCGGGCACAACAGTACTCTCGTGGTGAGATGTGCATGTTCGCGATTCATTCCATTTTCCTCAGGTCATCCTCTGAGGCCAACACGTCGTTGTTTGAATGACCGATTTGCTAATAAGACTCCAGGACCTTCAAGATTCCATTAACAAAAAACGAATCCTCGAAGGTTTATGAATTTCAGCTCCTGAGCGTGCTGGCATGGCATACTGGGTCGGCCGGAGAAGGACAGTCTGACTTATGCTATATTTCGCTTCGATTTTGTCTGATTGAAGGTTCATCGTTACAAAGCTGTATCTGTAGGGCGAGCTGCCTCTTGTCTACCCTGTTGAATGGTGTTCGCGTCGTGCTTCAGCTCTTCAACTTTTGGATAGCCATAAAGAACCAGGTAGGTGTACACTTCGTCATAGAAGTTGACTCTGCCCAGCGGATCTTGTTGCCGTCAACAATGCCGAGAACGACAAGAAGACCCTTGAAATTTCATTTCGTTACATACTGCTACTGTTTTACATGCACAACACAGTGGAAAAAGAGTTCACCCACAACAGGGGGACGAACGTGAACGCATCTGTAAACACCAGGGGCCACGCAAAAGCAGCATAAATAATATAAAACAACCACCGCACCGCGCTTTTCTCCAAACATATCTACCCCAGCACAACGCCAAACACATATCTATTCCGTACATGTACATACACATGCCGTGGCGTCTTTTGCCCCCTTCCCCCCAACACGCCATCATGCGAACATCACCCCAGCCATGCCACCGCTTCCGCCAGAATTTCCTCCCAATCCCAGCTCCTCGGGCTCGCCACGCGCTGCCTTTCTCTCCGCATCGGAAGACACGTCCCAGCCGAACAGCACCGAGAGGACGTCCTGGACGACGGTAACTTTCTTCGCGCTCCGCGCCCTGCTTCTTGTGTCAACTCCCCGCGCGTTCAGGAGGGCCCTGGCTCTCCCCTCCCTTCCGCTTCCTCCTGCCGAGTCTGATTCTTCCGTTGCGGCCGAGCTTCCCTCTCCCACAGGATTGGCCGGCGACGGTGGTTGCACTTCTCCTGCATCACTGTCAAACACTCCAGCTTCTGGCAACTCTTGCGGCCGAACGAAAACCGGGCATTCTCCTTCTCCCTCCTCACGGCCACCGCCGCCGCCGCCGCCTTCCTGTCTCGGAGACGTGCTACCCGCCGCAGAGCCTTCGGCTGCCATTTCCTCCGCCGGGGATAGGGTATCTTCGTCGTGCGGGGCGTGCGGTTGCGTCATATTCTCCTCGCTGCCCTCATCCTCACCACCATCGATGTTGCGGCGCAATTCCAGAGTATTCTCTTCCTCGTTGCCCGAAGGCACAGGATCTCTGTGGTAGTGGCCGCGCTCCAGCGTAACATCGTCGTCGTCGATGTCCTCCTTGTTTGCCGCTCGTGGAGGCTCCCCGTTCGCGACGAGGGCGGCCCCTGGTGGTTCGCGTAGGTAACCGTTGAGCCTGTCTAGCTGGGCGAAGAGCTCGTTGCCGACCTCATGGAGGACAATTACCCGCGCCTGGAGGTATCTGTTGGGTCAAGAAAGGGGGCATGAAAGTTTTTCCTTGAACGCGACCAGACGACTAGTGCGGACACGATGGGGCATGGCTACTTCGGGTATGGGGGAGGGGCAACCTGCGCTTGAAGCTTGACGAGGGAAGCTAGGACAGTGACACCGCTATCCACAGACCGGCGCAGATGAACAAGCAGAGATATAGAAGGCGTAGGATAGTAGAGAGAAGCAAGATGTCGGCGGGAGGAATCAGAAAAGAGGAAGGGTCAAGAGCGCCTTGCACACGCACCTCGACACGGCGTAGGTCTGGCGGGCCTCCTCCTCCGCAGCTTCGATCTCTTCCCGGAGAGCGCGGATGCGCCGCACGACGCCCACGGCACCTTCCCCGTCGATCAGACTTCGCATCATCCGCAGCTCATCCTCCTGGAGAAGGGGCCGGGAGGCAAAGCCCAGTCAACGCACATTCAGCGACAATGAATAGCGCAGGAAATCTACATCAAACGCATTCCAAACAGGCCGTCAGCGTTTGGCCTCATGGTCCACCCACCTCGGCTCAGACCTACTACGGACAAAAAGACTCCCCACGACCTGTGCTTCTTCTTGGGAATTCAAGAGTGGGCAGGGCAGGCCCCTACTGTGTGCGCCTTCCAGAAACTTTCGGCCAGTAAGGGCCCTCGAAGGTAGAATATTCTTGGGCCCCTTTACTGAACAGTTGTGTTGGGGTTCTACGCCACGGGGGATTAGAGAATTCGACGTGTTTGTTGTCACTGACCCCCGACTCCCCAGCAGCTTGGAACGTTTCTCCGCTATAAAACCATCACGGCCGCAGCAGCAGCAGCGACAGCAAGACTGAGCACAAAAGCCCTCTTTCTTTTGCTCCCTCGGTGCTTGAGCCCAACCAATGTCGCCTCTCACCAGGTGCATCGCAATGATCTGCAGCTGCGACCCGAGGGCCTCAGCTTCCTCCGTCCTCCTAGAGTCCTCGATCCCACCAGGGTTACCAACGCCGCCGTCCCTCAACAAATCTGTGTCGCCTTCTTCTTCTCCCGCCCTAACGTCTACGTCCGCGAACGTCATATTTTCTGACGAAGGCGGTGCCCGCGGCGACGATGAGGAGTTGGTTGTGGTTCGTTCTTTCTCGCCCGCGGCGAAGGCTTTCGAGGCTTGCGCCTCCGGTCGATCCCGCGCGCGTGCCGGGGGTGGTGTTTCTTTCCCGCGTGCGATCGGGCTACTTCTGCTGTCGTCGCCGTCACTGCCTTGCAACCCAGCCCTATGGCGCTGCACCGCCAACTGCGCCTCTATCACTTGGGCCTGAGGGGGAGGGCATTAGGAGTGTAGACAGAGGCAAGCCGGTTACTCGGTAACCTACTGCGAGGCACACACGTTGCCATAGAAAAAAGAGGAAAACGAAACGTCCAAGATCCTGTTTTTTTTTAGTGGGCGAGGATCTCAACATACCTAGTATCGGCCATGACCATGACTGTGTGTACCACGCTGAATTCCGTGGCAGCTAGGCGGCTAAGAAGGACTGCGAACTCTGTCCTGAACTGCATGCGGGATAAGCCTGCGAGGAGCGAAGATCACGGCTACGCGTGTGCTTGGCACTACGAGAAGGCCAGATCAAACAACAGAAAATGCGCACGTCAATCATAGCGTCCCGACCCGACCCCCCCCCGCTTGCTCTTCCGTCAGCCACATGAAAACGGCCCCCAGGAGTGAGTGAAACCATAGACGAAAATCTCTACCTGTAACCGCGCGTTGTCTTGAGAGGCTGCATCTTCCTCCGCCCTCCACTTATCGCACAGGGCGCTGGCCGTGTCCACTTCGCTAGAGGCGAGAATCAAGTCTTGCCGAGCTTGCCGTGCTCGCTGAGTGTGAGAGGTGGGCGAGTTACAGGGAATTACACGGCGGGAGCGGGAGGGTTTACAGGATGTGGCGGGATAGGGTACGGCGAACCATCGAATGCTTGCTACGGCCTCGCACTACGACCGCATGTCCACACCGCATGTGCACTACAGGAAAGTACACACAGGAGTAAGGACGCGCGTACATGCACGGTCGATCGGAAACAACGAGCAGCGAAATAATGCAGGACTGGGAGGCTGATACCTCCGAAGCGACCCGCGCAACGAACTGTACAGGCAAACGCTCTCCTTGCTGACGGACAGCACAAGATCACCCACCACATGGTTCGTCTGTGTGGTCGAGCTTCCACCGGCAAGTGTTGAGTAAAATACGACCAATGACGACGACGACAACAACAACAACAACAACAACAACAACAATACGACAACGAGATCAACAACAACGACAGCAACACCGAGAACAAACCTTGATGATGCCGAGGGTCCCCCTGTGCGCCAGTTCCTCCTCCAGCTCTTCGCTTTCGGCCGTTAGGTCCACAATCGCTTGCTGGGAACATGTGGGCAGTCGTGGAAGAGAGACAAGCGAATCAGCTCCGCAGCGTTTCCCGATGAACGACAAACAACGACGACGACGACGACAAAACACATCATCATCACCAGGAATGCCCACATCACCGGCACGTCAACACCAGCACTACCCACCCTCAGCTCCCCGACAAACAGCCGAACATCGTCCGCCGCCGCACCCCTGCCGCCGTCACCCCAAACCCTCGATCCTTCCGCCTCAGCTTCCTCCGCTCCATGGAGGCCAGTTTCCCCCGTGTCCCCCCGAGCAAAGGCCTCCGCGTTTGGGTTGCCGGCCTCGCCGTCGTCGCGACGTCGGATTGTAGCGTTGTCGTTTGCAAGGGAGGCCGAGAGCGAGGTGAGCATGTCCGACTGTCCGAGCTGCTCTGCCCACTTCGCCAAGGACGTGCTGCTACCTCCCTCCTCGTTGCTGGACGCAGTAAGTGGAAAGGGCGAGCGGTGGGCCGTAAGGATCCTGCCGGAACTCTTGGCCATGTCCAACTACATAACGCCTTTGGTGTCGCCATGAGAGCACTCTCATGTTGACGTGAAGGGATTGCTGCGCAAAAAAGTGGCTTTCATAAAAAATACACCAGAAATCCTCATCTCTCCGCAACTGGAGAAACAAACTCCCAGGTGAAACACACGAGTTCAGCACGTCATTTCGGCCATGCGTATGTTTGCCAGGTGACGGTATACAAAAGCTCTTCTGCATGTATTGCCCATCCGATTGGGAGAAAGAGCTACGCTGACATTAATCGTTCAGACAGGTCCGCACGGCTGTGGGATAACGCCAGCAACAACTCACCTCCCGTCGGCGCCGTATTCGGACGAAGCCACTACTCCGGCGTCCAAGAACTCCCCGAGTCTCTCCGCATCTCCTTCGGCAATGGCCTAGACATCAAACACCAACATGCGCAAGACCAAGCGTGAAAATATATCACGAAAGACGGGCTGAAAGGCATCGCAAGCACGCGGCAGGAGGGTCAGAGACGCTTCTCCGACGAGGTCTCATGCAGATCTGTGTGGCCCCGCCGCCGGCACTCGTGTGTGTGCCGTTGGTTTGGAAGGAGAAGAGTGTGTCACAGAATGAAGATGGGAAGAGTATAGGTGAAAAATACATTGAGAGGAGAAGATCGCGCCTAAAGGCTTGCGGGACGGGCAGGATCCTGGGTTCAGGGTGGGTTGGGAGGCATTTGGAGGGGGGGGGGGGGGGGGCTTT